GAGTGTGATGCGAGAGCCACAACCAGATCCGAACCTAATCAAGCCTCCTCTTCTTGCACGATGGTGCTTCTCGTACCTCTCTCTCTCTCCCCAATCCTATCCAACAGCCACAAGCAGTCTCCGCGTCACTTTCTACACTCATTCCTTCTATTTAAGGTGGCTGTCTTCTTCCTTTTCTATCGCTTCCATATTCTTTCCCATATCCCCATATCCAGCTAAGCGTTGGCATTAAATCAGTCCACCTCGTGTCTTGTACCAACTATTGGTTCGGACAATTCCCATTTTTTGACTTACAACTCCTTGCATTTTCAGGCCATTTTGTGATTAGATGCCATCGTATGTATGGGTCTACACGTCTCTCCCACATAGGCGCTACTGCGTAAACACAAAATCTTGTAACAGCCCGATCTGGAGAGAGGGTCAGAGTATTATCTAAAAGAAGGCATTAACGAAGTTCCTGATGCCCCATCTCCTCAGTAATTCGCCCATATTTTTCGACAGATTACACGATGGCAGCATAAAGACTTTAGAAGTCGTCTAACCTTTTTTAAGCCCCAAATATGCATTTCCCTTCGTACTGTTTGACAATACTCGAAAATAATTGTCAATCAGCCTTCGTGGACAATTGTTCTCAACCAAAATTCTCCTTAATCTTTTCAACTCCTGGTCCCAATACTTAGCACCTGCCAGACACAGGTGTCCCTTGCCATGCTGCCAAAGAGCAAAGAAGTCGTCCATATGGTGAACCAATAAGTTAGAGACTAAAAGTGCCTCCTGAATTAGGCGTTCCTCAAATTGAGCCATATTATTATTTTCTAAAATTGGTGACAAACACCATCCTATAGCTAAACCTCATGTTTATTAGTACAGTTTACCATTACAGATAAACAATGAACAGTGCCACGCCAGGTTGGTCGGTATCATTATCGACACTACATAACTTCGTACTCGCTAAAATCTCCGGGTGTTGGTCCAGTGTGGATTGCAGATCCTGTTTGACATCGTCCACAGGAATTTTAGTGTACTCGACATCAAAATTAACCAGCAAATTCCAACTTTGTATCTCCTGCTCGTCAACTAAGGTAACGAATTCACAAGAATTCTTAACTGAAACATACCACATCTCGGAGCTTTGCTTTACCTGGTCACAAATAAATCGTGATATTTTATGCACCACGCTTCCCTTACTATTCACAATCATCCTAAGTGTCACTCCACCTCCATGTATTTTTGGCAGACTATTTGCGTTCGGATGCTATCTTCCCGCTAAAGAAAAGTGTTCATCTTCCATTTTTATGGTATCCTCATTTATTGCACAATGCTGCAGGCAACCCATAACTCTAGACCTAAGAGTTTATGTAGGGTTGTTATGAATTACCTTGTATGTGGTAGTGTCATCCAAAGACATAACAGCCACCGTCTCTCCTTTGTCTGCCCTCAACACCATTTGGTCCCCATCACTGAGGTTCCTTATGATGCTTTTCACTCTCTTATTCCTACCAATTATGGCTACATGGGTATCAATTAAAAGAACGACCTGTAGTTCAATATCACTCCCAGATTCTTCTGGAAGACGGGAGTTAAAACTTTTTAGTTCCACCAGTATCTCCTCTATAGTATCCTTACTGTTTGGCAAAACATTGTTTAAATATTCTGGGAGCATTGCCTCGGTGGTAGAGCCTAATGTTATTTTAGGGAGGTTTGTCACTTTCTCACCGACTATCCCTTACTTGCTAATTTCTCCATTGACGTATTTCGATTATTCTTTGTCCTTTTTCCCATACTCAAATTCTTAAGCTTCTTATCATGCCTGTATCTTACCTGTTGAAAAACTCTACCACAGACCCTGTCTGTCATTCTTTTTAATTTAGAGAACTTTTCCAGGCTAAGAGTATTCGCCAATGATTGGTGTAATCTGCTTTCCTCCTTATTAATAAGTGTAAAGACTTGAACTTTATTTTTCCATACGGTAAGGAAAACAGGCAAAAGATAGTGGTGGAACTCAGATCCACCAGATCGGATTTCTACAAGATTTTGTGTTTATACGTTCGCACCTGTGTTAGAGGTCTGTAGGTGGGCACATGCGAGGTTGTCTGAACATAGAACAGCTTGCAAGAGCAAGAGTTTGTGTCCATAAATCGGAATCGGCCGAACACATAGCTCGTATAGAACACAAGATAGATTTGTCCGAAACCAAACGCTTAGCTGGATATGGGGACTATACCAACAAGTGAGAGGAAGACTAAGGAAGTGATAGAAATAAACAAAACAAGCAACACCTTGATTAGGAGGAATGATCGTAGGAGTTACGTAGAAACTACTTGCAGCTGTTAGATAGGATTGAAGAAAGAGAGAGGAGGAACAAGAAGTATCATCGAGGAAGAGGAGGAAGTTGAATAGACTCGAATCATAAATTCACAAAGTAGAATTGGAACGATGAATTTTGTGCCTAGAGTAAGCCATAATAAGTGCATTTTTAACAAAATTGGGAAGCATAAGGTTATTAATTTATCCAATATACCGCTGGAATATAGTGCGGAACTTTCATTGGAAGGTATTGAATTTTGCTCTTCCAAATAGTGTGAACTATTCTCTGGACATACTTAATGAATTAATTAGCTCACATCAGTAATTCCCAAACTGTGCGCCGCGGCGCCCCGGGGAGCCGCGGCCTCTTTACAGATGCGCCACGAAATATTGTAAAAGCTTGATTTAAAAAAATGTTCGGTAATTTGCAGGCCCATCCATCACATTAATTATTAAATATTAATGTAATGTTAATAAATTTAAAAAAATAATGAAGATACACGAGTTTTAGTTATTTTTATCTCTTACGAATAGTCATACTTAGGGTAGGGCACTATGGAAAAATTTTAATTGAAAAAGGGTGCCGCGACTAGGAAAAGTTTGGGAACCACTGACTTATATGATAGATTCCTTAAAGTGAATAATGGTTTGGAGTTGGCGGCGAATCCTCATTTCGACCAAATAATAATGCCAAAGCAATTTTCTATTCTCAGTAGGGTTTCTGAATATTTAGTTCGCAATAATCTGATTATTGTAAAGGCCGGCAAAAGTGAAACAGTGATAGTCATGAGTAGGACAAGTATAAAGAATAAATGAAAGTTCATTTAAATGATACTAACATATATATGAGAGATCCAACTGAAAGACTTAAGACTAGGCTGAATGATGTCCTTAAGGTATGCGATAGTAATGGTGAAATGAAATGGTAATTCAATTAAGTATCTAGAGCGATTCAAGGACCAACAGCTTATGGTCTTCCTAAGGCTTACAAAGAGGGGATCCCTCTTAGATTAAGTGTTAATAACAAGGGAATAGTGGTGCAAAGAATCTCACATTTTTCATGCGTATCTAAGGGAAGCTGCTGATTGTAGGCTATATTCAGCTAAAAAATTTTAAGAGTTTGTAAAATTGATTGATCAACAGATAATTTAAGAGAAAAATAGGCTAGCAAATTTTAACGTTGCTATGTTACTATATGTACACAAATATTCTTGTAAAAGAGCTATTCATAATTTAGTGCAAATTCTGAAGGAACATCTCGAGATTGTGCAAGGAATAGAATCGAGTATAGCCTACATTCTTAGACTTCTAAACTAATCCATGAGTAGCTCTTATTTTACCTTGCAGTAAGTCTTATGAAGATATACGACTAGTAATGGGATCTTCGTTGGTACACTTCTTGGCGAACAACTGCATAACGAAACTTAATGAACGTTTTCGCAACATGGTCATATTGGTAGGAAGACTTAGAGGAACGCACCTAGTCCGGAGTCTATTGTATGCATGGTCATCTCCAAAGTCGGACTGTGGACGTAGTAAATTCCCAGACGTTTCGCCTGCATCGTCAGTGAGTTTCACCAGTTTGGTCCACGTATTTTATTCGACCTATGTCACCCCATCTGTGCTACTCGATGCGTTATTTGTCCTCCCATGCCTCTAGGTGACTAATTCGAGGCTCAAGTTTCTACGTAAGTCTCATGGTCACGCCTTTGCTACATGGACCACGTCTATGGTAAAACCTACTGCCAGCCAACTAGCTACAGTCTCCGCCGCGTCTATCTTGTTTCTATCCCTAATAACAAGTCTATGACTTCCCATACCACACTCTCTTGTGTGCCAACCCACAAACGCTGAGGCGCAACATTGAACCTAATCAAAGCAAGCAGTACCACAACATTTTGGGGGGGGCGAATAACGCCTCGAGTAGCACAGATGGAGTGGCAGGGGTCGAGTGAAATACGTGAACCAAGGAGAGAGCAGACGGATCTTATGAGGCAAGAGAGAGACTGTGATAAGACCTATGAAAGGAGGACTGCGTAACAATATGGCAGACTCTGATCCACATTCCCAGCACAAGGATCAAGGGGGGTAAGAAGACCAACGTGGAGTGCGGAGGGTTCTCATTAAAGCAGCTCAAAATGGGACACCGTACCACATTTAATCATGCAAGTAAAAAAATGTGACAGTGAGGGCGTGATAGGAGGATATAGAAAATGTGAATAGGCCAGGGCAGAAGGGGAGATACCACAACTGTTTAGCCCACATTTGGTCAAAGGATCGGGTTCACTTGTGACTGTGATAAGACCTATGGAAGGAGGACTGCGTAACAATATGACAGACTCTGATCCACATTCCCAGCACAAGGGTGAAGATGGTGAGAATGACAGTGTGGAGTGTAAAGGGTTTTCATAAATACCGTTAAAGGAGCACACAATACATCGAAATAAGCACGGTGAAAATTCTAAATGAAGGCGTGATAGGAGGATATAGGAAGTGTGAATAGGCCAGGCCAGAAGGGGAGATACCACAACTGTTTAGCAAACATTTGGTCAAAGGATTGGCTTCACTTGTCTCTTTGACGAGTTATTGTGTGGTGCTAAGAATGGCGATACTCACTGACGATGTCGAAGAAACGTCTAGGAAAGTACCACGTCCACGGTCCGAATTGAAATGATCATGCATACAATGGACTCCGGACAAGGTGCGTTCCTCTAAGTCTTCCTACCAATATAGCCAAGTTCCGAGAACAAGGTCAAACAACTTCTATACAACGAAAGGAGACTGCGACCACACAAAAGGCCACACCATCTT